CCGGCCGCCGGGTCACTGATGACCACCGCGCAGGCCCGCTTTTGTGAATTGTGATGTGATGTGATGCGCTCCGCGACTAAGAGGGGGAGCAGTGTGGCGCGCTAGCGCCAGTAATTTAGCTGCGGCGTGTCCTCCGGCCAGCCTGCCTTTGCGCTGCCGATCGCCGCCGTGCGCCATGTTTACTATTTTATCAAGAGCGTTTGTTTTCCGCTTTTATATTATTGTAAATTCGTTATTTTCGTCACTTCGGTTTTATAGTTTTCAACCGTATTTAATATTTGTCCTTGCTTTAATTTGTTGTAATTTCTAGATTGACTTTTCGCCGTTTCCATATACTTGATTCGTTTTTGATTATGTAAAAAAGTGTTTTTATTTTTGAATGTGTAGTTCCGCCCCCGTTGACTTCCTGTTCGTTTTGATCTCTATGGTTTTTTGGGACGTGCTCTCAGTTAAAATATAAATTTAGTATCCGTACGCAGAGTGTCAGAGAGGCTGAGTATTTCGACGAGTTCCTGGTTTTATTTCTCACGTTTTTCTCCCAGTTTAACCCATATCTAACCATCGTTTCGCTGTTTATTTCGTTCTTTCATTGTGGGTGATTTCCTTTCCTCCGAACACGCCCCTATTTACCCTAAGACCCACACCTCTGTCTGTGAGCTTCTTGTCAGTTTTCAATAGTTAGGACTGCATTTTCAGCTGCTTTCCGGAGCACGAGTCTGCTGCCGTACGAGGGTCGTTCAAAACGCTGTTAGTCTCGCATGGTTTTGTCCTTCAAAAATTTTAGCCACCGTTTTTATTAGATGATCATCATGTTCTACTCATCCTCGCCGACACTTTGCCATGTGTCATTTTCGACTTACCCCTATTTGTGGCAGGCTCCTGGCTACCCCTATTAGTGACAGGGGGGGCTATTTACGACCCCCCCCCTTGATATCTCGAGATCTAACGGGCCGATTTTCAAAATTCAAACGGCATTCGATTTCGCTCAACGTGATCTACATTTCTAAAAAATTAAAATTAAAAAATGTCAATAGGGGGGTAGAGGGGGGTTAAAACGGGCAAATTGCAGATACATTTTTGACTGTTTATCACGGCTAGGTTTCTGAACCAATCTTAACCCTCGCCGGCCGAGGGGGGGGGGCGGGTGCCGCCCCCCCCCCCCCATAGGGTTTTTTTCGCGATAGCTCCGAACACGCTGGCGATAGAGAGCTGAAACTTGGCATACCTGACCTTTGATCCAAGCCGCATCTTTTGACACCAACCGCATTTTTGGGTCAGGTCAGGTCACTGACCTATGACGTCATAAGTGAACCTCTGCACGGTCTTCAGATGTCGCAACTTCGCAACGCTCTCACTGCCAGAGGAGATGTCACAGGGAAATGAAACTTGCAGGATCTAGTATCCATTATGAGTCCCACAACTTGTATATCTCGGATTTTTCCTAAAGGTCATATGAGGTCAGGTCATTTTCGTGACCTCACCATTATAAGTCAATGGGGAAAAATGAAAACTGCTATTCTGGCGCCGGGAGCGATCTCCAACTATCTCAAGCACACAGAATCGTGATTTTATGCACTCCTTGCAAGGTTAGATGCGTCACTTTTTCAATGTTGACCTTGCGTGACGTCATTTATGACGTCATCAAGGTCATATTAGTTTTTCGTCAATAACTCTTGATCAAATTGAGCTAGCGAGTCGGGAAAGCCACCAATGGACTCAGGAAGACCTGCCGAATCGAATGATATGCGACATGACCTCTTTCGACCAACTTCGTGACCTGGGGGTGCTGACCTGACCTTGACCTGAGGTCAACACCCCAAGTTGACCTGACCCGGACAAAAAGTATATCATTCGACGCGCCTGAGCGAGACGAACACGATGCTGCCAAAATCGGCGCTCTGCGGCCGTTTTTTGCGAAGTTATTCACCAAAAACTGAACCGTACCTTGGGGCACTTGACCTGACCTCAGAGGTCACCGGTTGACCTAGGACCTTAACCCTCGCCCGCACATGCCATTTTCCCATCCTAGAACGCACATGGGGGGGGGGGTGGTTGCCACCCCCCCCCCGCGCCATTTCGTTCCTGTTGGAGATAGAGCTTAGCAGTAAAGACCAAAAAGATTCTTTGGGAAGAGACAAATCCAATGATACCCAGTTTTACCTTCTCAGGTCAGTCATTGACCTTCCAGGTCAGGTCAAACTAAAAAATGTTGCTGTTTTGGGTCACCGTTGGATATCAAGTGCACTGCTTATCAAATACCGATGACGATGCTGTTTTCTGTTGCCAAGCCAGCTAGAACCTCTTTGTCACAGTATCCGACCAGAATTTTGCTGCTGAGGTCATTTCAGGTCAAGTTAGGTCAAGGTCAATTATATGTGTTTGTATGTCTGTGTGTGTCTGTGTGTATACTGATGTGTGCACCGATTGTTTTTGGGTCCATATCACATGAAATCATGATCTGAGAAGCTTTTACCAAAAATGCAGTCAAAAAACTTCACAAAAAGTAAATTCAGCTTGCCTGAAACGCAATTATCTTAGATGACCTAGGTTGACCTTGACCCTGACCTTAACCCCTGTACATCGTCGAACAACATGTTCCATGATAGGTGGGAGGTAAGACTGGCAAAAAAGGCCGAAATCAGGGTGTCAAAAGCTCACAAGGCCCATGGCAAACGCAAGATGTTGAGAATTGGCCATTTGGGTCATGACATGACCTGAAAAACAAGGTCATATCTCCGAAACCAAAAATCACAGAAACTTGAAATTTTCAGTGGACATCAAGAAAGGATAGACGAGCAGCTATACGAAAAATCAGCCTTCTAGCTCTAAAAATGTGGAGTGCAGAGCAGAAAGACTGCCTGGGGGGGGGGTGGCAACCACCTCCCCCCCATGTGCGGGCGAGGGTTAACCCTATTAGTGGAAGGGGGGGGGGTGTTTTTATCCACCCCTCAGGTTTTTCGGGAATATCTCCGAAACCGCTGAAGCTACGATGCTGAAATTTTCTGACTTTTCCTAAAACTAAATTGGGCACATTCCCTGAAAATTTCAAGTTCATAACTTTACCAGGGGCGGCTCCAGAGCACTGGGAATTGGGGGGTCCTATTCGTGAAGCGAGTCATTTGGGCGAAGATCACGATGCTGCACCAGTTTTACGAACAGTGAATGAAAGGTATCATGTGTTAACATATACAAAGTTATTGTGCATCCTCTTTTGACACGTTTTTGCTATAATAGGCGGATCCAGGCGTCCAAAAAGGGGGGTTATTTTTTACCTCCCAACATAGGTGCCCTGACACCGCCTATGCATGACCAATACAGTTTTAGTCGTTCTCTCGTAAGAAAATTGTAACATAACAAGACCATTGCCACCCTTTTTAGAAACAGTAGGTACCAACAAAAACCTTATTTACTTTACTTTTTGTGTACCCCCAATCTCAATGATCTGTATCCGCCTATGATTTTTGAAAATGCATATTTTTAGGATCCATGTGAATTCCTGGTTCATTCTCTATCGATCGGCAAAAGTTGCGTTAAGATTGGTTTAGAAACCTGGCCGTGATAAACAGTCTAAAATGTATCTGCAATTTGCCCGTTTTTACCCCCCTCTACCCCCTATTGACATTTTCTAATTTTTATTTTTTTTAGAAATGTAGATCTCGTTGAGCCAAATCGAATGCCGTTTGAATTTTGAAAATCGGCCGGTTAGATCTCGAGATATCAAGGGGGGTCGTAAACAGCCCCCCTGCCACTAATAGGGGTAGCCAGGAGCCTGCCACTAATAGGGTTAAAATCGGGTACCAATCTCTGCGTCTCGTAACGGCGCACACGCTCGTTTTTTCCGCGACGCGCTAGCTCCACCAGGGGCGAAACGGCGAGGGGGGGGGGGGGGTCGTACCCGCCCCCCCCCCCCTCGGCCGGCGCGTATGTAGAAAACCAATAGGTCCGGCGAGGGTTAACGCAACTTTTGCCGATCGATAGAGAATGAACCAGGAATTCACATGGATCCTAAAAATATGCATTTTCAAAAATCATAGGCGGATATAGATCATTGAGATTGGGGGTACACAAAAAGTATAGTAAATAAGGTTTTTGTTGGTACTGTTTCTAAAAAGGGTGGTAATGGTCTTGTTATGTTACAATTTTCTTATGAGAGAACGACTACAATTGTATTGGTCATGCATAGGCGGTGTCAGGGCACCTATGTTGGGAGGTAAAACATAACCCCCCTTTTTGGACGCCTGGATCAGCCTATTATAGCAAAAACGTGTCAAAAGAGGATGCACAATAACTGTATATGTTATCACATGATACCTTTCATTCACTGTTCGTAAAACTGGTGCAGCGTCGTGATCTTCGCCCAAATGACTCGCTTCACGAATAGGACCCCCCAATTCCCAGTGCTCTGGAGCCGCCCCTGGTAAAGTTATGAACTTGAAATTTTCAGTGAATGTGCCCAATTTAGTTTTAGGAAAAGTCAGAAATTTCAGCATCGTAGCTTCAGCGGTTTCGGAGATATTCCCGAAAAACCTGAGGGGTGGATAAAAACAACCCCCCCCCCCTGCCACTAATAGGGTTAACCATTCCCATTACTCCTGAAACAGAGAGTTTCTCAGCCGACCCGATTTTGCGACCTCCATTTTCATGCTTGACCTATGGTCAGAGATAAACCCTTTTGTGGGCTCATGAAGGGTTGAATGCGCTTGAAAATAATGAGACTGCTTGAGGAAGGTTGTTACAAATGCCCATGCAAAATTTCGACTGTTAATTTATTGTTGATTCAGAATCATTGACAAAAAAAGCATGGCTGGTGCCTGTCAACGAACTTTTGAGACACCCTGTACATATGAATGGCATCACTATCAGTTTATATCAGTTGTGGCGTCATATCAGCGTTATGTGTTCATCTCCACCCGTTGAGAGAGTGTGAGACAGCGGCTCCGAGAGGCCGGTGGCGCCGAGCCGTCTGTTGTGGGACTGATCAGAGGCGCTGGGCGGCGCCGTCACTCACCCGGGACATTGAACCTCAGTGTTCTCGGCGTGCCGTCATCGCTTTTCCCCAGGTCTGCCCTGACCAGGGCGTCCAGGACCCTCTGACTGAGCTCCTCCATTGCGTGAAAGATCAGCGCCTCCAGTTTCCGACAGGTAAACGCCAGTCTGCGACAGAACAGAACACAGACCAGTCAGCGACACCAGCCGGCCGACCGGCCGTCTGGAGGGGACGGGTCCGGTATCCACAGGGCCAGTTCAAGTCAGGTCCGGTCCGGTTGGGGTTCGGCGTTCGGGTCCGGTCTTAGACTGGGGTCGATGCGGTAGACAGTGTGCTAGCTGATATAATATTACATAAAATTATATACATGGATGTTTATAGCATTGTGCAGTGTGCACGTAATGGATACAACAATAGACCTCTGTATAATGATGTATTGATACTACAAAGTATGGCTTGGGTATGTAAATGCATGCAATAAATGGTGTTGCTGTGTAAATTTATAGGTGAAACAAGTGGTTCGGTCATAGGCAAAATAAAATACATGGCTCTACATACACACAGGCATTGCTATTTGTGTTGGTCTGGTCTGGTCTGGGTCTCATCTGGGTGTGGTCTGGGTGTGGTCTGGTCTGTGTCTGGTCTGGTCTGGTCTGTGTCTGGTCTGGGTCTGGGTCTGGGTCTGGTCTGGGTCTGGTCTGGGTCTGCTCTATGTCTGGGTCTGCTCTGGGTCTGGTCTGAGTGTACAGCTGACTGACCTGCTGACCGCTGTGACCGGTATATCCGTATAGAGTTCACTGGGCGCTCCCAGCTGCATTTTACGCAGCTGGGAGCAGCCGTGGAGGGCAGCCAGTGAGGCGTCAGTGATGGCGCCGGACAGAGAGCCGTTAAGTGTGACGTCTTCCAGGCCGGTGAGGGCGGACAGCAGTCCCTGTAGGGCCCCGGCAGTGACACGCGGGCAGCCTGGGAAACACAGACACATACAGACACGGTAGGTGAATTGTGGGGAAATGACAGACATTATGCATATTAGTGTGTTGCGCATATGGCACAATACGTCATCGGCCTAGTCAATAGCATTGTAGGTGTAATGCCACCTTTACATCATCTGTCGAGTTATTGTGATGTTTATCACTGATATACTTGTTTCCCTAAATGTCACCACACTACTCCCACATACCCAGCACGGGTGGCATTATGTCCATTGACATACCCGTCGTGGGCGGTATTCACCCGACCGAACATACTACACATACACACATACAAACATATACACATTGGTGACGTAATTGCCAATACTGTTCATAGTCTGTAGTTCTCCTCTATTGGTACGGTGTAACCATGCATCGTTACTCTATGTTCATCACTATATCTAACCACTCATATCAATACCCTGTTTGGCCACTGCTGGTCACCACGTATGACTTCAGAAATATGAACAATATGTAATCGACACAACTAATACCAAACAGCACCATACATGAAAGACATATTCAAATATCCACTCCTGATATCGTCATATAAACCGTTGTCATCATAACACTCTAACGTACCCCCATGACCTGCCCCATGCATATGTTCCCGGTTCACCTCTGCTGGGACGGTGTTACCATGCACAACTACTCGGTGTCATCACTATACACAACCATTCATACCGATAACCTGTCCGTGCCACCACCACTCACTGAACATGGTCAGCGCGGTAACCCGTGGTCCCAGCTCCTTGGCCAGCTGGTTGATGACGTCATCTCCCGCCTGTTTTATGACGACCACCAGCCCATGGTCGGGCCGTCTTCCCAGTGTCACCGACTCCCCCGTCTCCCCCGGTCCTGTCGGAGAGAGAGCCGCGTCAGCTGACTGCAGTCGGACGGAGCTGCCGCCGGGTCGGGAGGCGACTGACACTATGGTGTCAAACACTGATGTAGACGACACTTATACCTGACACAGCCGACACTGACACCAACACAGCCGACTTGACAATGCTGAGCAGTTTTGCATTGCCTGTGCTTATGCGATGCATTGCTATTGGTCAGTACCTTTACCTATAATAATACGTAAACAAACACATATATTGTTCAATTTGGCACTTGGAAAGTATGGAGGTGACTTCTGACCTCAACATGATGATTTGAGGAAATTTATCTGAAATAGAATGTAACACAATACAGGTAGAGTGCAAAACGACTGCAATTGATATACCTACCAATCTGTTGTAATGCTGATAATGCCTAATTGATACATGAGAGAGGCTACGATACTCCCATTGAAATTTAATAAAGATCGGATGCTTTGCTAAGACTGTTATTAAATAAATATTACAATTGATGCTAGGTATTATAAAACATGTACTGTCTGCTCCCTTCTCCCCAGTCAGAATTGAGCTTATTCGGTTCCTCTCTCTGCAGGATCTCACCGAAAACGTCCAGTTTCCGCAAGGACGGTGGAAGTAGTCGCACCCACTGCCCCGTTGAGTCGGAGGGTGCAGTCACGGTCAGTTCCTCCATACCCTCGGAATTCTGCAGGATGTTTGTCAGCGATTTCTCGCTCAGGCCCGGCGTGAAACATAGCTTCTTTATGCTGAAAACATAGCCATTGATGTCAGGATTAAATGAGGCGGTCATCTGTTGCTAACTATCAATCGCTAAATAAGCATAGCCATAGCGCTATGGGCATTAAATAAGCAAGCGCTACCCTGCAGAGGGGAGGGAGGGTTGGTGCCGAAGGGAAGGGGAGGGAGGGTTGGACAGAGAGAGAGAGAGAGAGAGAGAGAGAGAGAGAGAGAGAGAGAGAGAGAGAGAGAGAGAGAGAGAGAGAGAGAGAGAGAGAGAGAGAGAGAGAGAGAGAGAGAGAGAGAGAGAGTGAGAGTGAGAGAGGGGGGAGAGAGAGAGGGGAGATAGAGGAGAGAGAGAGAGAGAGGGGGGGAGACAGACAGACAGACAGACAGACAGACAGACAGACAGACAGACAGACAGACAGACAGACAGACAGACAGACAGACAGACAGACAGAGACAGAAACTGAAAAATGTACACAGGCAAAGAAGATGCTGAAGACCATGACTGCAAGACAGACGCACAGATAGAGACAGCAGAAAGAAAGGGAGCCCTGGAAGGCCACACACAAATGGGTAGAGGTGCAGGGAAGTGAAGCTCTACCTACACATGGCAATGCTCACCCCATCGTCGGCGGCTGAACTAACCTGGTATTCCTAGACTCGAGCAGCTTGTTAAAGGCAGATATCTCCGCATCTAGTGCAACTTTGGTGTTCATCAGAGCCTGTTGCTTCTCCTTTTGCTGCTGCATCTGCTCCTGTTGACTTTTTATCTCCTCATCTTTGTCCTTGCTCGACGACCGCTCGTGATCCAGCTGCCGGCAAAGGTCAGGTCATTAGTCACATCTCAAGTCAGAGCATATGGTCAGGTGTGGGAGCAGAGGCCAAAGATGAGGTAAGCTAAAAATTCCGAGATCATATGTACGTTTATATATAACTATGTCAGGATCAGCTAAGGTCAATGCCCGACAGATAGGGGCTAACCTTCACCTGTGTAGTGCGTGTGTGTGTGTGGGGGGGGGGGGTCGAACGGACTCCCCTCGGTTTTTCGCGAATAACTCGTGTAAAAAAACTGTCGATCGCCACGAAACTTTGAGTACCCTCGCGTTAATCAATTTTACACCAACCCTAAAAATTTTATGACCCTGACCCAAACGACCTTTGACCTGTGAAGTATTTTTCGAGACCTTGTTTGGCCGGAATCGCGATTCAGCGTATGTCGGCTCGCATTAGCCGCGCGTTTGCAGTCTTTTCGTCGTTTTAACCCGCGCATGACTGGGGGGGGGGGGGGCTCTACAGAGCCCCCTCCCGTTTTTCGGCAATATCTTCTAAACCGTTTCACGGATCAACACTAAACTTGCAGTACCTTCAGCGGCATCAATTTGACACCTTGTGTTAAAATTTCAACTTTCTATCTACCATAGTTTGGCCAGAAATGACGTCAGAGTGACGTTATGTCGGCCGATTTTGATGCAAAATATTGAATTATGGCAAACACTCTCATGAGCGTAGTTTTAAAGCTAGATCCAATTTCTTTACATCATTGCACTACAAATACACGTAGCTATCAAATTGCTATCTCAAATTTTCAAAAGTTAAAAATTTCGAAAAAAATGTTTTTACAATTACAAAAAAAATACTTTTTGTTTTTTTCAAAAGTTTTTGATTTTTTTTGCAAAAACCGGAATAAATGTGATAGAAAGCACACTGATTAACTACTCTAGCAAGTTTTAGCCGAATATCTTCAAAAATAGCCAAGTTATTTGCGTTTTTGTCAAAATTTTACAATTATACACTTTTCAAAACCATTTTTCAGTACGTTTTTTACATCGTACAGAAATATACATAAATGGCACCATTGTGTTCCTGAGCTCAAACTGCATCTTATAGGCACTTTTTTTTTTGAAAAATTTCATTTCCAAAATTTGACTTTTCTGACCTGAAATTGACCTGACCCCCGGTAAATTCAGCTTAAAATGACCTTAAATGACACATACGACATTATTTTCGAAATCTACGGGTAAAATTGACCATAAAACATGCGTCACGTGACCGATACATGATATACAATTTTCGTGACCTAGGATGACCTGGCCTTGACCTGCAAAAATTCGAAGTAAAAGTTTGGTACCATCAGGGTATCTAAGGCATATATCAAGGAGTGCGTAAACCAAAAATGAGCCTGATCGGATTTGTCAGCCGGCGGCAAGAGCCTAAATTCTAAACAAGCAAAAATGCCGATAATTTTTACTTTGACCTGACCTGTGACGTCATCGGTGACCTCGAGGTAAATGAAAATAGGTTTTATTCGACAGTTTTTCCAGCGCTATCAGACGCCGTTTGAATTTTGACGATCGGCTTGGTAGTTTTGGAGATAAGAGGGGGAAGCCCTGGAGAGCCCCCCCCCCCAGTCACTCGCGTTATGGAAAATACCCCAGTCATGCGCGGGTTAAGCTTTCAAACATGGGATACCTATGCTGTTGCTCCCATGCATTAGGGTGCGGATCATGGTCACCGGAAGGTCAGGTCAGGTCATTGACCTTTGATGACATCGGTTCACTTTGTCGAGTTTACATGTTTCTATGCTAGTTTTTTAGCTGAATTCGAATTAAGCAAGCATTTAAACACTCACTAAGTAGTTTTGGTGCTTTCGTAACATGTTACGAAGCTGTCAGAGGCGGTTGCCACCTACCACGAATACCTGGCTGGTTGACCTGACCTGAACTGACCCGACCTGGCCTAAATGCATGAAGACATCATCTATGATAATGACTTACATTAGCAGCTACGCTTTACGACGTTCTAACAGGTCCCGATTTTCCCGACGATTGAGTCATTGACCTGACCTGGAAGGTCAACTGATGAACTAGGACCCTAAAATTAGGTATCATTGTCTTTCTCTCGTCACGGGCAACACGCTCGTTTTTCTGCGAAGCTCTAGTTCGATCAGGGGCCAAACGCGAGGGGGATCGCACCAACGCCCTTGTGCCGTCGAAAGACGCAAAATGGCGCGTGCCGGCGAGGGATAAGCTTCAATCAATTCCCTACAGGTAACCAAAGTTTGGAGCCGTTTTTATGCTAAAGATCGGCGAAAAAATTGGGGGTGTTTAACGCCCCCCCCCCCCCAGCAACTCGCGGGCTAAGGCAGTGTACCAAATTTTGCCGAAATCGGCCCAGCCGTTCTCGAGATCTGGAAGCGGCAGCCTGCACGTTTGCACGTGCAAACTGGATCCCAACTGACTTTTGCACGGCACCGTTCTATCTGCCCTAGCCTTGTATCAAAGTTGAGCGAAATCGGTTCAACCGTTTTCTAGATCTGGAAGCTACCTCTGCAGTGCACGTGCGCACGTGCAGAGGTAGCTTACAAACCCAACCATGCAAATGGAAATGCATTGTCTGGTGGGTGCCTATTGGGTGCCTACCCAACTGCAAATTTTGCCGCAATCGGCCAAGTAGTTACCGAGATTGCAATTATTACAAAATCTGGCATCTCTTCGTTTTTGCACGTGGCGGTGGTACGTGCATGATGGTCACCCACATGCATCGGCCATAGTCTTATGGTTGGGAGCAGGCAAAGAGCTACCCTAAAAAATTACCGCAAGTAAATCGGTTCAGTGGTGTTGCGGATATATAAGCTTCGCAAAAGCGCACCCACGTCCGGCTGGCCGATCATACCCGGAAATTTCTGCTATTCTACGTAAAACTTCAATTGCTTCGCTCGCTCGTAATAACAGTCAGGCTATGTATTGCACTATTCCTATACGGTATACAACCTGGAGGCCCTGCTGGCAGGGGATGGGGTGGCTAAGCGGTCGAAGACTTACTGTGCGCTCCATTTCGTGCAAACGCTTCTTCAGTGAGGCGTTGGTCTGCTCCAGGTCGCTGGTTTTGCTGATGAGGTGGTCATTGCGCGCTTTAGTCTCGCGCAGCCTGGTCTCCGTGGCCGTATTAATGGCGCGCGATTCCTTAAATAGATTTGTAGAGTGAAGATGGGGCGGAACGTGAGGGCAAATGTGCCGCGAACGAAGGTCGAGGGGACGCACACTTCCTGTCTGACACACGTAGCACATGCACTGGCGAATCAAAGAAACGTGGGACAATTGTGGGATTTACCTCTTCCAAATTGCCGAAATTCATGAAATTTTCTCAATTTTCCCCAACATCGAAAGAATAGCTGGTTGGCAATTGTTATGGTAAAATTTCGTTTAAACTGCACCTCAACGATGCTAACCCGAAGTGGACAGCAGAGGTCAGTTACCTTCAGGTCATCCTCCGCCCTCTTCTGGTCGACCAGCGCTTGGTTCAGTCGGTCCTCCAGTTCGCGCACCTGTACCTTCTGTAGCAACACCTGCATCTCGACGCCCTCCTTCTGCCCTTGTGGCACCAGCCTGACGGCCAGATACGGATAGTGTTGACACGGCAGTAGCTGATCCCGAACAGAACCGGGACAAAACAACCCATGTGATAAGACGTGATCTGAAGCGCCAGTGATCCTCTCTTCCGACGGCTCTACGTGAGTCTGCCGGAGTGCGGATGTATTTACCAGAGGTGCTCATTTTATCCGGGCTCGGTAAAGTAGGGTGCATCACGTGCACCTTATTTTTATTTATTGTTTATTGTCACAGTAGCAAACCAGATCCGCATAAAATGGGCTATTCCCTGGTCGTCGTCAGTAAACACTTCATAACCCGGCACCGCCTGGGCTATTTCCGTACCCACGACAGCCTGGGGGGGGGGGTCGGATCCGACCCCCCCTTGTTATCTCGAGAACCAATGGTCGCATCGACCCCCGCGAGGCGGCGTTCGAAAGGTCTCTACGAGACCTTCCCAAAGCACTCTTAAGATTTTAAGATTAAGGTCAACTTTCGGGTCAAGGTCAGGTCAAAGGTCAAATTCTGGGGTTTTGCATGATTAGGCTTACGGACAGCGGAATCGACAGCTGCTGCTCGAAACTCACCAAAAATGACCTCAAAGAACTAGTGAAGGTACCATGTGCGTGTAGGGGTCATACTAAGTACGGGTCAAGGTCAGGTCAGGTCACGAAAGGTCACGGTTTTCACTTTCTGTTACATGGGCGTGCGACACATGTTTTATGGCTTATTTTTCACGCCGAAGCCGATGGTAATGGTTATATGTGACCCCAAGTCACTGTGCTGGTGATACGTGTTCATTGAAAGCATAAAAAATCGTTTATACCATACATAACTAAACGAGGGCTAAGAAAATAGGTCAATTTTTCAACTTTTTATTTTTGACATAAAAATGCACTTTTCTGGACGAGCTTTGTCCCAGGAATCTAGTGGTGCCATTTGTTTTCACATGCGATGTTCAGAAGTGCCTCTAATTCACGAAAATGCTTATGACGTCACCATGCCCTATGCATGTCGGAGCTATTTTTTACAATTTGGGGGTCAAAAATCAAGATAGAAAGTTGAAATTTGGCACGTCGAATGTTCTAATAGAGCTCTATAACATATATTCCGTTTTTTTTTGGAAATTCTCAAATTTTTTGATTTTATTAGCTGTTTTCAAAATTATAAGTTTTTAATTTTTAGGGGTAAAAAACGCATTTTATGGAAAATCCGAGATAGCCATTTTAAAGAACTCGCTGAGCTGCGTCTATTCATGTTCTTAAATTGCAATTTGCCTAAACCCTGATTTTTGGCGATTTTTTTTAACATTTACCACTTTTTGACTGAGAACGCCATGTAGTTACATCACTAAAATCGATATATCTAAAAAAAATCGGGAATTTTTTCTTGAAAATTACACAGGAGACGTCAAGTTGATGGGTGAGAAGGTATGCCAAGTTTCAAGTCAATAGCGTAAGCGGTTCATAAGTTATTCAAGAAAAACGGAGGGGAAGGGGTCGGATCCGACCCCCCCCCCCCCCAGGCGGTCGCGGGATAACGAACAACACACAACACTGTTAAAATCAAATACTGCGACGATAAAACAGCTAAAAATCACCTTCTCCTAGCTATGATCATTGTAATCTAGAAAGCTTTAGATGCTTTTTGAATTTGCTCAGCGTAAGTCTGTCTGCACCCTCGGCTATAACAAGCTTATTGTACAGTGTAACAGATCGGTAAATAAAAGTACGCTTTCCATGATTCGTTTTTACACGTGGCAAGCTAAGATTGTTCGATGTGCGCGTGTCACGTAACGTTCTGTCGCGATTAGTGTGAAGGTACTGAGCTATTGAATCCGGCTGTCCTGTTCCCCAGATCTTGTGCAGAAGGCACAGGTCCGAGTAATTGACGAGCTTTTGGGCCGGTAGCCAGCCCAATGAATCGATACAATCAGAAATGTGGTCATATTTTCGTCTTCCTGATACTACTCTTGCTGCGAAATTTATAACTTTTTGCAACTTGGCAATTCGCGCAGTGTTGGCACTTCCATAAACCTGAATGCAATAGCGCACGTGTGACAGAACTAGTGCATCAACAATTCGAGGTAGGAGATGATGCGGAAGAAGGTGGCGGGCGCTGGCTAGACCTATTAACCCGCGCCCGGCTGGGGGTCTTGGATTTCCACGCCCTGCTGGGGGGTGTTTGAACACCCCCCTTGTAACTCGGCTCCTGGGCCACGTAGCGATACGTGGAAGGCGGCGTTCGAAAGAACGTCAAAAATAATGACGAAATCACTTCGGTCAATTTTTTGGTCAGGTCAAAGGTCAGGTCACCAGAGGTCATTGAAGGCAAAATTTCGCCGATTTTCAGGTCGAATGTCAAAAATTTCCAAGAAGCCAACGCATAACTCGGGAACCAATAGAGCTACAGCGCCGCAGAAAAGCGCATTCGATAGCCCTATTAACGCCCTTTCTGAGTAATTCGCTCAGATTTGACCTTACGTCAACGGTGTTGCCTGCAGGGGGCAAAAACTGCAAAAATAGCCGATTTTTTCGGAAACAGTTTTTCTGCAATAACTTTTAACCCAAGCCTTGTACGAGCTTACTTTTACCGGCATCGTGTTCCTCTCGTCAAGACGCATCGAATGAACTATAACTTGACCTTGAAAGGTCTACTTGAAAATTTGACCTCTGGTCAAGGTCATGACCTGACCGGAAAGGGTCATGTTGCATATCAGTCGATCCGTATTGTCGAGCTGAACACATCTAAGGCGTTTTCATCGCTCTAGCATGCCTCTATCAAAAGTTATTTGCGAAAAACTGTTAGACACCATTCGTGACCTGAGATGACCTCAGGGGCATAAATCAGTGTCCTAGGATTGGAAAATTTGGGTGCAAAGCAGCACCCAAGTCACCATGAATTTTCCACTCTTTTTTAGCTTATTTGAGGATAATTTTCCACTCCCTAAAAAACTTTTGTCAATACATCAGCACTTAAATAAGAAAAGAACATGTGTAAATATAGACAAAAGTGCATCCCATGTTGACATGTCTCTTGAAAACTTGATCCTCAGGGCAATCCTTACCTACTGCACTCCATCCCAGCCAAAGGCCATCCTTCAAGTCCAAGATCGTCATCATGTCAACTATGAATGGAGGGAAAACTACTGATGGAAGCTGTGCCAAAATCACTGTTCCTGTGATGTGTGTTGTAGAGAACAAATTTTTATATAACCATAAATTTGTGCTTGCTTATTTTTTTGGCTATGACAGCCTATTGATATCAGGCTGTCAGAAATAGCCTGTACCTGTTGACAGACATTTAACCTGTAAGTGTATTTGGAGCTAAATAAATCCATGTTAGGGTGAGAAAATGAGGCAATATTGTCATTGTAATGATATAGGTATATGAGCCGTGGAATGTGGTTGCACTCAGTTGCACTCACCTGCCTTTCTACTGAACAGATAAAAAAGAACTAGAATGACATGTTCCTCAATCCTCAGCAACCTACACCAATAGAAAACACATAATCTAGCATTCACATACATAAAAGCAATCAAAACTATTAAACATTCATCAGATCAGCAACTTTGGATCGCATACACTGACACTGCTCAACAACCAAACGCTGCATATTTTACAGTCACAAGGGATTGTTTATATGCATTTGCCAGCTGTTGTTTGAGTGTCAAAGATTTTGATTGCCATATGAAGTTTTCCCTTACATATGGGTCATTCAACGAAGGTTACCTCTACTATTTAAAAAAGAATCACAGAAGAGAAGCTGCTGCTAAATTCTATAGTTCCGAGTGGTTTATTCACAAAAACAACAATATCTCTTGAATTTCATCAGGAATCCAAAAGTTTGACTTATTCGCTCATGCAGATTACTATCTTCTATATCCCTGTCAAGCTTGAAAAGAATCTATTGTGTAGTTTGCATTTGCGGAAGGGAAGTGTGGTAATTGCTGTTAACACATGCAGCAAAATTGCAGGCACTTGGCGTGTTTGTGCTGAATTCAAATAGACATTGATGACCATCATCAGAAACGGCAAACCGTTTTCTATTATTTTGAGGGTTAATACTTCGAAATATTGTTGATATATACAAGAAATACGCCCGGATACCAAACACCGCAAAAAGACACCCAGGAGTGGAAAATCCACCAGCTTCAAACAACAAATTTTTTCGTAAGAAGATCACTTGAATGTGAGAGAACGCATTTTTTTCTATCTGTTAGAGTGATTTGGTTGCCTTCCGTGACTTATTTTTTGCGAAAAACACAAGAACACGATCGCCACGGTCGGAGCGGCTTACCGGAGAGGGAGGGAGGGAAGAATGACCTTGAGTAACGCAAACATACAATTCTTGCGCATTTGTGTCGATTGAAGTTGGTGTGAAATCGCAAGCCGGCTTCAACAGATAAGTCGTAAAATCAGTTCCCTGCCTTGATATCTTTATAATTCTGAGTGTAAGCTTGTGTTATTTCATCTTTTAAAATTATTATCAGTCTTCGATAGTAGGGTCAGTTGTTCCGGCAATATGAGACAGAGGTATTTGATAGGCATTTCAATTTGATTGTCTTTGTACAATAGGTAGGTACCTACCAGTTCCCACAGCTAGCAGCTACCTAATAGGAATTACCTTTTTTGTATTTAGTATGAATTTTATGTAGCTCAGCATTGGCACATCACTTGGAACTCTCTAGCCCCCTTTGCAGGGTAAATGCCCTTTGGCCTTGTGTAGATGAAAAACAAATTGCTGAGAAATGCAGGTTTTTCATTTTTAATAGCATCGTCACCAATATTAGGTGCTATAGCCATACTACTAAGTTAAACCTTACATTGTCTACTCCTCAAGGTTTTTAGTTGGTTACGAAGAGCAAAGTTATTGGTGACAGCAATCATAGCTTCAGGCGTCAATTGTTGTCGGCTGTGCCCGTAGGTGGCAGTTATGAAGCTCTATGTTATGCCTAATTTTCCACTCATTTTGCTCGTTTTTGGTCTGATTTTTCCACTCGACACCCTAGCTCAAAACCAATTCTAGGACACTGGCATAAATAGGGGTCACGGACACCATTGTCATGTTCAGTGTGTTTAAACGACTTGTAATTCAGTGTTTGGGAGTGTTTATAATGTCTTTCGTCCAAAAGAGGCGCATTTCAATTTTCTCCCATTGACTTATAATGGGGAGGTCGCAAAATTGACCTGACCTTAGGTCATCGATATAAAAATTCTGAGATATACGTTTTGTACATGCTATTGCTTTTAGCAATCGCTGAAAGTTTCAAAGCGATCGGTCACTCGGTGTAGCTATGACAGACATTTAAACTTTTTATGAGGTGAGGTCACTTCAAGTGACCTGGTGACCTGACCTTGAATGACCTTGGTCTGAAATTTTAACAACATGTGTAGAATTGATATATGATAAGGCGTACCAAAAACGGCGGCGCTCCGCGCCGCCGTTTTAGAGATATTCGCGAAAAACCACAAGGGGGGTGTTCAAACACCCCCCCAGCAGGGCGCGGGTTAAAATACCGGTACATTTGCTGACATATTACTCGACATGCAGTTCCCACGACAAGTTACAGTCCATTTTAACACCGAGGTTTCGAACACACTTGGCCGGCTGTAAGGTTTCGTCTAAAAACTGCACATTATCTTGCCCTTCCCCTACGTACGTACTGCAGCTGACGCCTATCACCTATCAGTATCATCTCAGTTTTCGCTGCGTTTACTTTCATTCCATTCTGAGCGAACCAGGTACCCATAATTTCGAGCAGCTGACTAAGGGCAGTTTGTAGCTCTCCGAGGCGGGTGCGGAGCCCCGTGCCACCGATTTGTGTATCGTCAGCGAATGTGGTCATTATAACCTTAAACCCATTGACCGAATTTGGCAGATGCAATGCTAAATCAAGAGTGGCAACTGGCAATATTAAACAACAACGGGCCGAGACAAGATCCCTGAAATGTACCAATATTTATGTTTTTAGATGACGACAACACATTTCCCAAGCGGACCTGTTGCTTATGACCTTCCAGGTAGCTTCTAAACCATCCCGAACTGATCTGGGATGGTTCCTTCCTTGAAGACCACCCATGGATCATTACTCCAACAGGATGTTTACTTCGCAGGACCGCTGGAATATTATCGATACAATCCCCTATATAGCATGCCATTCTTTTTTATCGTATTCCAGTCAGTGGTGAGATTTTTGGTCGCTGAAGTTTTGAACATTGTTTCCTTTTAATGTGCTCAAGAGCTTGTTCCTGATATCCAAGCGAGTCATCTGTATGTCCTCTGCTAAGAGTTATTTTACAAGGATTACATTAACCCTCGCCAGCACAGGCCATTTTGCGTCCTTCGATGGCACAAGGGGGGTACGACCCCCTTCGCGATTGGCCCCTGATCGAGCAAGAGCTTCGCAGAAAAAAAACGAGCGTGTTGCCCATGACGAGAGTAAGCCGATGATACCCAATTTTAAGGTCTTAAGTCATTGGTTGACCTTCCAGGTCAGGTCAATGACCCAAAAGTCGGGGAAATTGGGACCTGTTAAAATGTCGTAAAGTCTGCTATGGTTTTTCGAGGTGCTGATCACGAATATCATGTTAGTTTTGGTTACATATGATGTCTTTATGCATAGCCCTCCTCCTGTTTTTCTGCAATAACTTCTAAACCGCTTGACGTATCGCCGCTAAACTTCCATTACCATCGGCTGCATCAATTTGACACCTTGTGTTAAAATTTGAACTACGTATCTATCATAAGTCGGCCGGAAATGACGTCAGAGTGACGTCATGTTCGGCCAATTTCGACGCAAAACATTGGACCACGGGAAACGCTCCCAAGAGCTCAGTTTTTGAGCTAGATCCATTTTCTTTGCATAAGAGGACTTAGAAAAGACTGCGCTATCCAACTGTTATGTCGAATTTTCAAAATTGTGAAAATTTCGCAAATCATATATATTAAAATTCAAAATTTTTATCTTTTTTCAAAAACTTTTTGACTTTTCAAAAAAAACGGAATAGATATGATAGAACACATGCTTATGACTTATTCTAGCAAGTTTTAGCCAGATATCTTCAAAAATGGCTAAGTTATATGCATTATAGCAGAAATTTCACAATTTTAAATTTTTCAAATCATTTTTTTTTTGTACGAATTTGACATCGTACACCAATATGAATAATAAATATAAAATATAAATAGCACCATCTTGTTTCAGAGCTTAATCTGCACCCAATAGACATGTTTTTGTTGAAAAATTTTAGCTTTGAAATTTCACCTTTTTTTGACCTGAAAGTGACCTGACCTCAGCTATATTCAGATTAAAATGGCCTCAAATGACACAGGCGACACCGAATTCGAAATCTATGGCCTAAATGGACCATAAACATGTGTCACGTGACCGATTTATGACATAAAATTTCCGTGACCTATGATGACCTGACCCTGACCTGAAAATCAAAGTAGAAGTTTCGTACCCTCAGGGTATCTAAAGCATCTGTTCACGAGTGTGTAAACCAAAAATCAGCCTGATCTGACTCGTAAGACGGCAGCCAGAGCCCAAAAATTGAACAAGCCAAATATCGATAATTTTTACTTTGACCTGACCTGTGACGTGATCGGTGACCTCGAGGTCAATGAAATTAGGTTTCGCTCGACAGTTTTCCGGGGCTTGACGATGCTTTGACGATCAGCCCAGTAGTTTCGGAGTTAGGAGGGGGGGGGGGGGCTATGAATATGAATAGCCCCCCCCCCCCAGTGGGGCGTGTTATACACAGACCCCAGTGGGGCGCAGGTTAATTAAAAATTTCGCTCAAAACAGGTCAAGAGTTTTTCGCTTATAACTTTTGATCTAATTAATGTTTGTCGTTTAGGGTTTATCGACTGATGAATGGTGAAAAACAAGCCATTGTAAAAAAAAATGAGAGGTTTAGGGTTCTTTATATCTTGTGTCAGGTATCAAACTCACTTCTTTGGAGGTCTTGACTCCATGTAGAAGCGACTCAAGGTGTTCAAATCGCTGCTGATGCTTGCTACTGCCAGCCACACGTGCAGAAGAAGTGTCGGGAACTCGCCAGTGATGTAGTTGACCATTCCATTTGTGTCGTTGCCAGCCTTCTCTTTTCCCTCCTCAGGAATTTCATCGAAGTGGTGAACCTGAAAAAAAATGGCAAAGTGCTTAACCCGTGGCCCGTAGGGGGGGGGGGGGGCGAAACGGCCCTCCCTGTCCTTTTCCGTCGATATCTCCTACACGGCTGCAAATATCGCTACCAAACTTTGGAGACCCTTCCGGGCATCAATTTTACACATTGTGACCAAACGTTTTTCCAGAGGCTATTATAGGTTGGCCACAAATGACGTCAGAATGACGTCATGTTCTGCCATTTTCGACCGAAAAAAGACCTTCGCAAGAAGAGCTGTCATGCCTACAGCTTTGAAGATACTTAAAAATCAATCGAACATAAAAGGTGTAGAATTGACAGGACGACAAAACTACCATCTCGGATTTTTTATTATAATTTTTTGAGTTTTCACCCCCAAAAATAAAAAAAAACATTTTTTAATATATTAGCCAAAAATCAAAAAAAAGTTTTGAGTTTCGAAAAAAAAACGAAATACATATGATAGTACCATCGTCTTCTATCTACATACCAACTTTCAGATCGACATCTGTTTTTTTTGGCCAAGTTATAGCGAAAAAACTGTTCAAAAATGACGACGTCAAATTTTCAAACTCAAATTTTGGCAATTTGAGACCACGTAAGGCAAAACAAAGACCACCATTAGACTCCCCGTGACGAGCTCTGCATCGAATCGATACCTATTTGATGCAAAAAAAAAATCAACTCTGAAATTTGACCTAACTTGACCATACCTTGACATGACCTTTACCAAAACGTGACCTTAGCTGGCCCCAAAGGCTGCCTGACCCACATAATCGCTTTTGTCATGTAAAATGGACCATAAAACATGTACCACACGACACTTCATATTGTGACCCCCAGTGACCTGACCTCTGTGACCTGACCTGGTATCAGTGACCTCAGATAGCATAGTATGTGTTTGACGAACAATGTACCATCGATGGTTTTCAATAACTTACCAATTTACTCGATTTCACAACACATTTCTTGAAATGCCTGTGAACGGTGAAAATCCGACCTTTGACCTGACCTGTGACGTCATCGGTTTGACCTAGGTCAATGAAATTTGGTCACGAGGTAGTTCCCCGGTGGGGCTATCGAACGCCGTTTGAGTTTTGAAATTCGGCCTTTAAATTTCCGAGATCTTGGGGGGGCCGAAACGCCCCCCCCCCTACGGGTGGTAGGTTGCGCCGATAACAAACGTGAACAGCTGCCAAAAGTATAGTTTTAGAGACCAGTAAAACGCCTTTTGGGCGAAGAACGAGCGAGCGAGATAGTGAGCCCTGCACGTGCGCAAGGGCGAGAGGGTACTTCCAACGGGCTTGTGCAAAGCACCCTTCTAACCGGTCGCTAGCGGTGTGCCAAATTTGAATGCAATCGGCCCAGCCGTTCCTGAGATCTGGAAGCGGCATTCTGCACGTGCGCACGTGCAAACGGGGTCCAAAATGACTTTTGCACGGCACCCTACTAACTGGTCCCCAACCGTGTACCAAATTTGAGCGCAATCGGCCCAGCCGTTCTCGAGATCTGGAAACGCCCCCTGCACGTGCGCACGTGCAGTAGCACCCTAACCGCAACACATGGGAATGCATTGCCTGGTGGGTGCCTACCTGTATGCCAAGTTTCAGCGAAATCGCCCCAGTAATTACCGAGTTACTGAAATGGGAACAAATTTGGCACCTCTTATTGTTGTATTTTGCACGTGCACTGGGGGTGACCCACATGCATCGAGAGTATCCTATTTTGGGTAGAAGGGATGCTGCTACCCTACAAAAATTACCGCAAGTCAATCGCCCAAGCGGCTGCTGAGATATGAGCCACTCAAAATCACTACTTTTGCAAAACAGCTTGAACACCCTTGACTTTTCACGTGGCACGTGCCACGACGGTCACTGAGATATATCAAAAGTAGTCAATTACGGGGTAAAAGGGATGGGGCTACCCAACAAAAAATACCGCAGGCCAATCGGTCCAGCGGTTGCTGAGATATAAGCCTCTCAAAAGCGTTACAGGCCGGGCCGGGCCGGGCCGGGCCGGGCCGCTCATACTGAGATTTTTCCGTTATGTATATTGAAAAGACTCACTTCGCTCGCTGCGCTCGCTCGCTCGTAATAAAGACAAATTACGATCACGGTTGTATATCGTTTGATCAAGGGAAAATACAAAATGATTTTGGTGATCTGAGGTCAGAGGTCAGATCAACAACCCCGAGTTGGGGTTTTAGTTTTTCGCAAATTACTTTAACCCGCGCCGGGCCGGCGCGGTGCTCCGCGACTTCCGCGCCGGGCCGGGGGGGGGGGGGTGTCTGAACACCTCCCTTCTAACTCGGCTCCTGGGCCATGTAGCGACACGCGGAAGGCGGCATTCGAAAGAGCGTCTAAAATAAGAAAAACACGTCGGTCATTTTTTGGGTCAGGTCAAAGGTCAGGTCACCAGAGGTCACTAAAAGTAAAATGTTAGCTATTTCAACATTTTGGAAACTGCCAAAGGCTAACTCGGGAACCGATAAGGCTACAGCGCAGCGGACAAGCGCAATCGATAGCCCTTTTACCGGCCTTTCTGCGTTCTCTCAGATTTGACCTCAGGTCAACGGTTTAGCCTCCAGAGGGCAAAAACTAAAAAAATAGCCGTTTTTTACGAAAAGTGTTTTTCGGCAATAACTTTTGACTCAAAAGAGCCACGACATTACTTTTGCCAGCATCGTATTCCTCTCGTCAAATCGCGCAGAATGAACTATATGTAATTTGACCTTGAAGGGTCAACTTGAAAATTTGACCTCAGGTCAAGGTCATGACCTGACCGGAAAAGGACATGTTACAAATCAGTCGATCCGCATCGTCGAGCCGAACACATCTAAGGCGTTTTCATCGCTCTGGCAAGCCTCTATCAGAAGTTATTAGCGAAAAACTGTTAGATAGGTACTATACGGTACAGAGGTGAAAAACCCTGCTACTCGCCTGCGTGCGTAGGTGACAGCCATAGGAATAAACAAACAGATTCCAGCATTTCAGTTGATGCATTTAACCCGGCCGGGCCCGGGGGTATTCCCAACCACCGCAGCCCGGGGGGGGGCGTTTTTCGCCCCCCCCCCCTGTTTAACTCCGTAAATAAGGGAGCTACGGAAACAAAAGCGATACCAAACGAAAGGTCCTTACGAGACGATTCTAAAGCACCTAAAAATTTTTGACCTTAGGTCAGTTTTCAAAGTCAGAGGTCAAGGTCAAAGGCAAAAACCGGCACATGTGTAGTGATCTCAAAGTAAGCCTTCTAGAGGACGGCAGGCTGCATCAAACCGGCAAAATTGGGTGTCAAACGAAAGAAGAGAATCTGAGGATTCCGAAAATGTGCTCAAAATCAAAGGTCAAGGTCAAGGTCACGCTCAAAATTGACCGCAAACTTGACACTTTTTCGCAAATCTTGCGTGCTAACTTCCAAGATGTTTTGAAATGTTTTGAGGCTTATCAGTTCCCTATTTGTGGTTCATCTTACGATACAAGGCTGCTGAAAGGTCAAGGTCACAGAAGAGTATCCCTGCTAGAGGCTATTTCACTGATTCAAGTTAATACATAATAAATAAGACAATTTTGCCGTCTGGAAGCTCTAAATGAAGGCTTAGAGGAAAAAAGATGCCAGATTCGTGATCAGCGGGTACAAATCCATCATAAACGACCTTTCATGTGTCAAGGTCAACCAGAGTTCATTCGAGGTCACATGAGGTCAACATAAAACTTGACCTTTTCCGAACAATATATATATATATATATATATATATATATATATATATATATATATATATATATATATATATATATATATATATATATATATATATATATATATATATATATATCATTCGACACGGCTTGACAAGGCAAATGCGATGGTACCACTGCCGTAGCTCTAGGACCATTTTTGTCGAAGTTATTTGCGAAAAATTAAAACATTTCGGGGTCGCTGACCTGACCTCTGACCTCAGGTCACCAAAACTATTTTTCTATTTTTCTCTAGGTCAAACGCTACTCATCCGTGCTCGTAATTTGTCTTTATTTCTAAAACTCTATTTTAGCAGCTATTTGAAGTTTGCGTCTGTGACGCCGAAGTTTGTCGTGCAGGGGTCTAGAAAAATGGACCTTGTGACGTCATCAAGGGGGCTAGGTCCAAATTTTTTACTTTAGAAGATGTCAAATTGATGGGAGAAAAGGTACTGAAAGTTTCGCTTTCCTATCCCTAAGCGTTCGGGAGCTATCGCAAATATTCGCCAGGGGGGGGGGCGAAAAACGCCCCCCCCGGGCCCGCGAGGGTTAAAGTAGATAACTAGGCCGTTTCCGCTACAATCAGAGCTATCTTCCCGTAGAAGACCACTATGGACCACGGCACAAAAATTTAACAGCGTCATCTCTTTGTAGACAGCTGGGGCTGAAAAATCCCGCCGGTGCGACAGCCGGTGCGTTGTGAAGCGCCATAGACAACGCAGGAAAAACGGCGACAGCGCGACAGCTCGTCCCCGCTCGTCGCCGCTTGAGCGGTGGCGGGGACCGGCGCGGCCTTGGCCGCCGACGGAGTAGGGAGGGACCGGGCGACTGGGACGGGGGACGTCACATCTGGGCCATAACTGGGACGAGGTCCATTACCATCGGTCCCAGAAACTTGGTAGGAGAGTTGCTCATTGGTCTTGACTACTGAAGCAAAGACAAGTGAATCAGTGACAACTGACAATCCTTTCGTGAGTTCTGATTGAACTGGATCAGGAAGCCAGGACGAGCTAGGAAGTCGATCAGACCTATAGGTAAGTTTAATGATAGTGATTTATTTTTTGTTGTGTAACTACTGAAATGTGGTGATGCGTTGTAATGCCCACAGGCTGAAATTTGAAAGATCAGTTTATTTCTAACATTCTAGCCTCATTTTCAAATTTACTTTTTTAGGCCTCAAAGGTGATGAGAAAACGGCAAAAAAAATGGTAGGTACCTACTGTTTCAAGATGACTTGCGAAAAATTGGCGACAGCTAGACA